TGGTTTTTCCACTTGTACATAATCCGAGACCCAACAGACGAAAGGATAAGAAAAAATGGAGGGAACAAGAAACCTAAAAAAGGGAAACATATTTTCAACGCAGGCTATAAAGTAATTCTGCTGACCAATAAGCTCTGAATCTTGATCGGATCGATTCTTGTCTTTGGCATACACACAGGCTGTTTGGGTTCGCTTGTGTGAGTGAATTGTGCATCGTTGTTTGTGTTTCATTGTGTATGAATGTTATGAGTGCATTTATGTGTTCATGCTGAACCTCTGTAGGTTGGTGTTTTGGTATATCAACTCCAAATGTCTCTCGTTAATGAACAAAGTTTGTAGTATCTATATTTAATCATGTTGGTTCTTGGAGTCGTATATTTTGCTTCTTCTGTGCAAAGTGGTCAAAAGAGAGGAATATATCGATGAAGAAATCTTACACTTTCAGTTGTGCCCGTGAAAGGTACAATGGAGGTAGTGCCGAGGAAAAATTGGAGAGAAGAACGAGGAGGAGGAGGATCTCATAAACAAGCAAAAGAAAATCAATAGGTCAATAAAAACAATACAAAATTTAACAGACAATGCTAACCTAAGATTATCAAACGATAACACCCTACTTGTGACACCTGTAAAATCAGACAAATCATATGGAGAGAGATCGTTCTCATATCTTGGTCCATTTATGTGGAACAGATTACCCATGAAACTAAGACAAATAAAAACACTTGATAGGTTTGTAAGACATCTTAAACATTTTCTGTTCCTACAGGCCTATCCTTCATAAGCTTTTAATGTTATTTTTCATTATAGTTGTTCTGTTCCTATGTCTGAATGAAAATTCTCTCTCTCTCTCTCTCTCTCTCTCTCTCTCTCTCTCTCTCTCTCTCTCTCTCTCTCTCTCTCTCTCTCTCTCTCTCTCTCTCTCTCTCTCTCTGTGTGTGTGTGCGCGCGCGCGCGCGCGCGTGTGTGTGTGTGTGTGTGTGTGTGTGTGTGTGTGTGTGTGTGTGTGCATTAATATATATTGCATGAGAAGAAAGGAAGTAGTAAGTAAGGTTTTTGGAAAATAGGTATTCCAATGTAAAGCGCATTGAGCTACTTTTTTGGAAATGCGCTATATAAATGTTATATATTATTATTATTATTATTATTATTATTATTATTATTATTATTATTATTATTATTATTATTATTATTATTATTATTATTATTATTATTATTATTATTAAAAAACAAACAAAATACCCTCAACACAGACACGTTTCCACCTACCTTGCATCCATAAGTTGTGTTCGATCTCAAGCCACTCAGGGTCACAAAACTCTCCAACTAGAAAGTAAAATATTGCAGTCGTCTCCTCTCTTCTCTCCTCTAGCAACAATATCTTCTTCTTCTTCTTCTTCTTCTTCTTCTTCTTCTTCTTCTTCTTCTTCTTCTTCTTCTTCTTCTTCTTCTTCTTCTTCTTCTTCTTCTTCTTCTTCTTCTTCTCTTCTTCTTCTTCTTTTTCTTCTTCTTTCTCTTCTTCTTCTTCTTCTAATATACGGATCCTGTGCCTAAGAACCTGATCATCCGAAGGCAGAAAAAGAGGGTTCTTAGGTGAGCAGGGTTCTTTTGTGGATTTCAAGGGGCATAACTCAACTTCTAACTGTGCTGACTACAGTCCTGTATCATATTTTAATGAAATTTTAATATAGACTTATACTCATAGGTGAAACTGGTTCTCGGGGGGTAAATAGGGAGGCTCACTTAATTATTGAATTTTTTTTTTTTTTATCTTGAATGTGCTTGTGTTTGTGAGAGTTATGAGTGTTGTTTTGAGTTCAAATGAAAATCAGGGGCTTTAGAGTGGATTTTTACGAGGCGACAACCAAAAACACTGCTATTGCTAACCCTGTACTATACCAAGTGGATTCAACCTTCAAGCCGTGCTCCTCACATAAAGCCTCCTCTGCGGTAGTTTCATTTGCCATGACTCGAACAAAGGCGAGAGAGCCTATGTGGTGTCAGTGGCCTAGTGGTTAGGCTCTTGGACTCGCAACCGTAAGATCGGGGATTCGAATTCCGTCAGGGGCCCGACCTTGTGTCCTTGGGAAAGGCACTTTGCCCAAATTTTCCTCACTTCACCCAGGTGGAAATGGGTACCTGGCTATAGACAGTGAACGATCTTGTCATTTGATAATGTTTGAGCGCGTGAAATCCGCAGCTTGCACTGTATACTTCCACGGAAGCCGAGAAAATATCTGGGTGTTCTCAGAGGGTCTGCTGGGGTAATGATAGTTGTAAAGCGCATAGAACATGATCTTGAGCATGGATATGCGCTATATAAATGCTATTATTATTATTATTATTATTATTATTATTATTATTATTATTATTATTATTATTATTATTATTATTATTAATGTGTATTAACCTTTTCAACCACCTTATTTTCCAGAACTTTTGAAGCATATTTAGGAGTTTGAAAAATAAAAGAAAGTATCAAAATTTGGAAGATTGTTGTTAAAAATTGTCCCGAATGTGGGATAATGGAGAAACGACTTCACTGCAGGAAAGAATGCCAGAGATATCAAACTGAAAGGGACAGAATATGTGAGGGAGAGTATGAAAAAGAGATCTTGTGTATGTGAATTGGCAAGTGAGAGGGGACTTGATTACATTGAGATTGCAACATTGAAAACTAATAGACTGAAAAAGCAAAGTACGTGTGTCTGGTACTGTTCTACGTTAGTAGGTTGTGGTATCTGTGTAGCGTCAAACTTACACCGAAGTCCGTTTTATTATCTTTTAATTTTTTTTTTAGGTGGGGGGTATTGTTGTTGCGGTTGTTGTTGTTGCTGTTGTTGTTGTTGTTGCTATTGTTGTTGTT